GATGATAGATAAATGATGGATAGATAGATGATAGAAGATAGATAGATAGATAGATAGATAGATAGATAGATAGATAGATAGATAGATAGATAGTTAGATAGATAGGAGAGAGAGAGAGAGAATAGATAGAGAGATTAGATAGATAGATGGACAGACAGACAGACAGACAGACAGACAGACAGACAGAAAATAGATAGACAGATGATAGATAGAAAAATAGATGATAGATAGATGATTGATTGATAGATAGATAGATAGATAGATAGATAGATAGATGATAGATAGATAGATAGATATTATAAGATAGGTATAGAGAAAGAGAAGAAGAGAGAGAGTTTTAAACATTTGAAAAATAAATCAGGGACAAATCATATTTGGGGGGATTTTCTGATCCAGGGGATCCCAGATTCCAGGCAGGAAAAAAAAAAACTTTGGACCTTGGGAAGAAAAGGAATAATTTTTCTCCCTTTTGATGTTCAATTGTCATTACTGTACAATTTTGAAAATTTTAGCCGTGATTTAATATTTAACCTTGATCTTAATTTCTATATCTTTTTTTTTTTAATTGACGGGTTGCATTATATTGTGCTCCTCCTGGAGGGGGGAGGGGAGGTTGGGAAATGCCCATCAATGAATCCCAGTGAATAAATCCGGTAGATCTGAGAAGGCGGAGTTTACGGGAGGAGCAAATCTTTATAGCTAATGGAGCCAGAAGGGCCTTTAACAGCATCAGAGCGGCCTTTGGCTGAGAGGGGGGAAGATTTGCCCCCTGGAGGTTCATATTATAAAAGGTGAGCGATGATGATGACGATGATGGTGGTGGTTTAGCATCAATGCCTGTCAACCCTGGACTCTGGAGCAGGTGAATGGTTTTATGGCCGTCCCCCTCCACGGCCAGAGGGTCTGGCTTAGGCCCAATCAGGGCTTAGGGGAAAGGGCACCACCTGGAATACCCCTTGATCTTCAAGGAAGCCGAGTCCATCTGACCGCCTTCCCGGGCAGCCTCTCCTGCCCCACCAGCTGCCCCAAAGAGATGCCTCATCTGGACCACCATTCACACGTGGGGGGAGGAGGAAACTCAGGTCCAGCCAGATGACCTCACGGGGGCCCCTCCCATCCAACGGCTGCCCAGGGCCTTGAGAGGGAACCACGGTGCAGGGCTTGGGACCCTCCTGCCTACAAAGGGGCCCTCGGGAGAGTTTCGGTGCAAAGCCTTGCCAGAGAGATCGGGAGGGGGGGTCTCCCTGCTGCCGCTGCCCCCCCCTGGGAGGGAGAGCTCGGAGGGCTGCCTTTCCCCTTGGAAGGGGGGTGGGTGTGGAGGTGGGAGCTCTGGGTCGACTCCGAAGTCCCCCCCCAATGGACCTGGGGGAGCTCTTGCGTTGTTGTCCCTCCTGCTCTTTCTACCCCCTGTGGGGCAGCCCCAGGACTCCCGGTGGGGAAGGCAGGGAAGATCCCCAGTATTCAGCCCCTCCCCCTCCCCAACCACAGCCCCCTCCCTTCTTGCTGAGGGGTGGGGGGCAGGAGCCCTGCAGAGCCATCCTCCCAGAGAGTCAGAATGCCCAGGGCTCCCAGCATCTTCTCCAGAGGGGTCTCTGGGGGCGGCAAGGAGGGGCTGAGGCCCCCCCCCCACTTCTTTCTAAAAGGGGGCTGAAATTTCCTGGTCTCCTGAACTGAGCCTGACTGGCCTCTGCACAAGGTATGGGGCAGGAATGGAGTTATGGAAGGGAGGAAGGGAGGGTGGGAAGGAAGGAGGGGAAAGGAATGGAGGGAGGAGGGGAGAGAGGGGTGGGGGAGGGAAGGAGAGAGGGATGAAGGAGGGAAGGAGTGGGTGGGGAGGAGAGGGAAGGAAGGAAGGAGGGAAGAAGGAGAGAGGGATGAAGGAGGGAAGGAGTGGGTGGGGAGGAGAGGGAAGGAAGGAAGGAGGGAAGAAGGAGAGAGGGGTGAGGGAGGGAATGGGGGAGGGAAGGAAGGAAGGAGGGAGTAGGGAAGGAGAGAGGGATGAAGGAGGGAAGGAGTGGGTGGGGAGGAGAGGGAAGGAAGGAAGGAGG